GGGGGTATAAAAACCATATGGAGAATATTCCTTTAACTTTATGTAAATTTCCAAAGTTTAGCCACGTCTCTGATTTTTCCTTTTTTTTGTGGTCTGCTTTTTGGCGTTTTTGCTTAAGATAAATACTCCTTTTTACAAAAACACGTAATCGTCTATAAATATTTACCGTGGAAAATTGTTATCAAATTGAAATGTTGGTGAAAATTTGTGGTGATTTTTTTTTCTTACTAGATACAGTTCCCCTTTTCTTATGTAATTGTGTAAGAGAGGGGTAGTAAGTTGGTGATTGAATGTTAAATGCTTAAACTAAATATGTATGTGATATGGGCCTAAAGGCAAACACGTGTAGGTTGTTACAGCTATAGTATGGGTTTGTGAATATATTTTAATATACGATACGAATGTCCTGTCCTTTTTTCCCTGTTTATATACAGAAAAAGGTTTAAGGTTAAACCTCCTGCCATACCAACAGCCTACTTTGTCTATGTGTATAATATAAAGTTTATAAATAGATAACGACACAAATTAATTAAACAGCCTTAAACTAGGCAATAATATATTTTAGATTTATAATGTATGATTGTGTGTTTTAGCAAGAAAAAAAAATCAATAAAACATCAAAGTAACTTGAAATAAGGCCAAATGCTTATACAGAGAAATAGATACAAAAATAAAAAGAAATTAGCGATTGGTTTTTGTTGAATACAAATAATAAAAAAAGGTCTAAAAATAGTCTATACTTTTGGGCTTAAAAAAAATCTAAAAGTGTTTTATAAAAAGACTTCAAAAGAAGGTTTTTAATTTGTAAAGAAGGTTATTATTATTGAAGTGATTTGTGGTGAAAGATAATAGTTTTAGACTTTCTTTTTGTTGTAGACATATAAAAAATAATGAATAAAAGTTTTGTTTGTCGGCAAAAGGCTGAAAAATTAATAATTAATAAATAAGCCTTAAAGTAGGCAATATATTATTGTTTATTTTTCGATTATAGACGTAAAAGCCCAGAAATATGCAGTATAAAATATTGCATGCTTTTAGGCTAGATTTAGTTATTTGATAAACAAGAAATGTGATTTACTATAAGATAAAATCAGCAAAGTTTGACTGTAAAGGTTAAAACAAATATTAATTAAATATTAATATAAAAAAGCCCAATTTTAAAAAATTTTCATCGGAAAGTGTTGAATTTTTTTTTTACTAATATTAACAAAGCTTGGCAAAATAATGATTTTTGGCAAAAGGCTTTTTTCACTAAAAAAATATTTTAACTAAAAAGCTTTTAAATGTACAATTTTCGCAGATTTTTTTCCAGAAAAAAAAAAATAATAAAAAGCTTTACAATACTTTTCACTAAGAGACTTTTATTACGAAAAATCAAATAAATATTTTACGTAAAAGTTATTGCATAAGGTTAGGCTTAGCATTTTAAGCCCAAAAATATGCAACATTTTAAAGTAAATATTTTCTAGCCTTAAAATATGCTTTCATGCCTAAATTTCCAATTCTAGACAAGTCCCTTAACTCTTTTTTTCGCCCACTTAATTTGCACCATATTTTTTAAACACAAAATAACGATAAACTATCAAATTTATTTTTAACATTCAAAAAGCTTATCATCACACATAGCAAAAGTCATTTCCTTTAAATAAACAATATGACAGTGTGTTTATTTTAAATATAGTTGATTTTAGTTTACTTTTTCACTATAAATAAATAGCAAACCAGACTCATTTATTTTAACACAACGATCATAGAGAAAATTTTACACATTTATAACAATACACATAAATATTAAAGCTATAACGTATAGTTTTGAAAATATATAGTTATGCCTAAAAATATGCACTAGAAAATGGGGGTAATAGTATAATCAAACACATAATTTAAACAGGCTAGACTGCCATACATAAAAAAGTATTATTGTTGTTATTTTTATATACATATTTTTATGAATTTTTTGTTTTGCTCTATGGTTATGTGAGTAAATGTTTAAATAAATTTAAATTTGTGTGTTTGTCTAACATAAATAAGTACCAACACAAATCTATAACTAACAACTAACACTAATATACTTAGTTAAAATCCTTTTTTGGATGTATGTATGTATATTTTGAGAGTATGTTTGTATTTGTTTAAACACACGTAGGGCAAACAAAGACTATTACAAAACTGCCACTGTCCGGCTATTTGCCTGTGTGTTTATGTTGGTATTTTATAACAAATTTTGAAGTTTAGTGGGAAGTCAGTTGTTATTATGACTGTTAGAATAGTTTAAAACTAAGCTTATATTATTTCTAAGTATGTTTGCATAAGTTTCAGTGTATGTGTGTGTGTGTGCTGGTGATTTATTAGCAACAAAAATAGATTAAAGCAATTTAAATTAAGTTGTTCAACCATAAAGTTTATACCAAAGTCTTGTATATAGTATATAGACAAAGTTGTTGCAAAAAGGACATTAAAATTTTCTGGCCAAATATGTAGCTGTAGTTTAGTGTCAACTCTTTTATACTTATGCTGCTTTTGTTGTGTATAATGTGTGTGTTTGGAAATATATGAGTTTATATTATAATGGTATTTGCTTGGTCAGCTGGAGTTTGAGGTTATTGTTGTTGCTATTATTGTTATTGCTTTGCCTGGTATCGTGGACCACATACCAGTAGCAGGGAAGTTATAAATGTTTCCGTGGTTTTATAACTTGTTTATAGTAAATTTAAAGCTTTAATTAAAAGATTTTTCGCAAAATAGTAGCATATATTTAGGGGGTGTTAAGGAAATTGTTGATATAGCCAGAAATGTCTAAAAAAATTTAAAAGTTCTAAATCGACAGTCATGTTTAAGTCTAAAATTAAAAATATAAACAATTTAACAGTGTTCTCTTAGAAAAAAAAAACGGTTTAATTACCAAAAAAGTGTTGCATAGTTGTAGGCATTATTATTAATTTAAAATAAAAGCATATTTTTTAAAGCCGCCATAAATTAAGTCGTTTTTTTCCTGCACAACATTAAGTAATGTATACTTTTAGGCTTTTTACTCACATTTATTTTATTACATTTTTTTTTTGTTGCTATTGCTCTTTATACACATTACAGTCATATAATATTTTATTAACAATAATTTCAATTTTTATATTGTTAACTTGCTATTAACAAACATTGTCATGCATTAATAAATTTCCCACAGGAAATCCAATGCCAGCAAAAAAAGTAAGAAAAAATACACTCATAAATAATCGAAAAAACGATATGTAAAAATACTTAACATTGGCTTTATTGCAAAAGGAGAGAGGGAGAAGAGAAAAAAATGCCTTTAGGCTTTATATCCGTTAAATGTTGTTGTGTCGATAATACTTGCACTTTACAGTTACAGTAAATAAAATTTTACACACATAAAGAAATAAAATAAAACACCAACACATCCCAATAAGCAAAAACCTTTGAAATGATGTAAATATGTATTTGAAAACCTATTCAAATTTCATACATAGCCTTTGAAAACAAATTTGAAAATTTTTGTTTTCAAATGGAAAATTATGGCCTTCTCAAACAAAAAGGCAGTTAGAAATCAAACGTATTTTTCAAATGTATTTCAAATTTAAAAAAAGGCTAGAGGTAAGCTTGAAACTAAAAAAATTTTCAAACGTATTTCAAGTATTCTTTATTATTATTTTCATACATATTTCAAACCCTAATTATAATGCTAAATATTGCAAAATTCATATATTTTTTTACATCACCTGAAAATAAAATATTCATACATTTATTTTAGCATTTTTTTCTTTTATATCTCCGATTATTTCTCCTATATTTAACGTTTTTTCGCTCCCTTGCTGTAGAAAAAATGTTATGTTTTTATTTTTCTAAAATAATTTATTTTTTGAAAGAAACTTTTCTAAGTTCAATTAAAACAAAAATTTGAAAATTTTATAAATATCATACATTATATTTTTTTAAACGTTTTTTGAAATTATCATGTTTATTTCAAAGGCTAAACTTTAAAATTTGAAAACAATTTGGAAAATACATTATTTAGTTAAGAAAATTTTCAAAAATTTTCACAGGTTTGAATCGATGTTTATTGGGATTGTTAAGCAAAAAATCGTAAAAAAAACTTTTTGTTTTGTATACATTTAAATTATTTAACTTTTCAAATATACATAGGGAAAAATACTGTATTGTATAGTTATTACAAGCACATTTTTGCATTAGTATGATCACTCAAATCATAGTTTTAGTTGACGCAACTATATTCATCTTTCAAGTGGCTACTGTATTCACATATGTATATATATGATTATAACAGTTATTACAGCAAATTTAGCTATAGTCTTAGCAAAGGTTTAGTTGACGCAATACTATCATGTTAAATTAATCATTGTAATGACTCACACAATCACATATATGATTGCAATAAACAATTATATATTTGTTACAATCAAATATATAATCGTAACAAACACATACTTGTTTATTGTAATAAAATATAACATCTGAATGATATATTTAACATAACATGATTAGGACAACGAAAATGATGATTACAGTGACTAAAATATTGTCAAATTTAAGATATTAGTTATATAATTATTGCTATAACCGTAACCAAACATATTTTTTCACCAAGTGTACATAAACTCCCCACAATCAGCCAACCAAAGAGGGACAAAGAGGGAGTAATTCTGTATTACCACTTGTAACTATTGATTTATGTTTTTTAATTTAAAATTTCCGTTTAACAGTATTTACATATCACAGTACTTGTGTGTGTATGAATGTAATCCAACAACAACAAAAAAAGAGCAAGCATACATACAACATCATTGGAATTTTTATTAATGAAAAACATTTACATTGTCAATATACATAATTCAACAGCATATGACGCGACATTGTTTAAACATACATTAATACAATAAATTTGTAATGTAAATACACACATACATTCAACCAAAAAACAAACAAAAAAATATTAATAATTTTTTTTTTTACTACATTAATTCTAGATTGGGTCCTATGCCACAACACCAACAACAAATGCCACAAAGTATGTCAACGGGTAATAATACGATTGGCGGTCATGGTGGTCATGATCGTGGCGGTGGTGGTGGCGGTATACCAGGTGGTAGTATACCCGGTACTATGAATGGTCCCAATGGTCCCCACTGTCAGATGAGCGGTTCACAGCCGTTGGTTATGCCACAATTTCCATTGCGTAATTCACACTCAGCGCATGCACCACATTATTCACCATACTCACCTTCCAGGTAAGTTGTTATTTTTTTTCGGAATTTATTTTTAAATATTTGTTTCTTTTTTCCCTTTAAAATAATATTTTTCATGTAATATTTTTATTTGAATTTTTTTTATCCAGAAAAAAATGCCTAAAGTGTTAATATTTACCAATATATTTCTCATTCATGTTTGCAATTTTTTTCACCATTTAATGTGTATAAATCATAGAACAAATTAAAAGTCAAAAAATGTCAACTAGTTGACATTTAATATTATTTATTAAATAAATAAGAAATTATATGCATTTATGAGATTTTATTTTTATTATTATTTTTTGAAAAAATAATATTCAATACATATTTTTTTGTTATCAATATTATATAAGGGAAATTTAAATATGAGTGATTTGTTTGAAATCATATACTGTGTAACAAATGTTTATAAAATAAATATTACTTTTATCATAATAGAGATTAAATGGCAATTTTTTATTTTTTAAAATTATTATTTGAATTAATAATAATAATAATAATTTTAATGTATTTTTAAAATAATTTTAATAAAAGATTAAAGCTTTCATAATTTCCCAAAAAAAACCTCCCACAATTTCTCCATTTAAAAAAGTATTAATTATTTGTCATTTATTTAAATATTACTTTAGCACCCACTTGAAAGCATTAATTTTCCTAATGACCAAACATCACACCTGAAGTGCGCTACAACTGTGTTTAAAAATATTAAAGATTTTCAGTTTTTTTTTCCTCTAATTTTCCATATTTCATTTAATAAACATGAAATGAAATACGGCAAGAAATTAATTTTCTCAAGTTTTATTTTTTCTTCTAAAAATCTAAGTTGAACGTATGTATATGCAGTGAAAAACGTGTTGTCGTTGCATGTTGCATTAAAAACCCACACACATAATTTTTCTCTGTATACCACTTTTCACTTATAATTTTCCTATTTTTTTCTTTATTCGTTGGGTTTTAGTTGCTATAGTTTTTTGCTCATTTTTCTCAACTATTTTTCTTGGTTAAATGTAAAACGTGTGCTTTAGTTCTTTCACGAACAAATCATCATCATTATTTTTCAGTTTTATAGTTTTTTTCGTGTTCTTATGCTGTGATGTCGTTGTCTACCTTCTTACACGAAATTTGCACCTCCGTTGTTTAAAGCCTGGTAAGAGAGTAAGCAAAATATTATTTGCATGGATTTAACAGAAAACAGGGTTTTGAAACGGTTATTTGTTGAGAAATATAAAAAGTAATTGTCCGCTTTGAGCAAATCTTCAATAACAACTTTTTATTCAACTACCGTGGTCATTACTCTGTATTTCCGTATGTTAGGTATCGGCTCTCTTTTAGTTCTAGTTCAGTTCTAGTTCAGTTCTAGTTCAGTTCTAGTTCAGTTCTAGTTCAGTTCTAGTTCAGTTCTAGTTCAGTTCTAGTTCAGTTCTAGTTCAGTTCTAGTTCAGTTCTAGTTCAGTTCTTGTTCAGTTCTAGTTCAGTTCTAGTTCAGTTCTAGTTCAGTTCTAGTTCAGTTCTAGTTCAGTTCTAGTTCAGTTCTAGTTCAGTTCTAGTTCAGTTCTAGTTCAGTTCTAGTTCAGTTCTAGTTCAGTTCTAGTTCAGTTCTAGTTCAGTTCTAGTTCAGTTCTAGTTCAGTTCTAGTTCAGTTCTAGTTCAGTTCTAGTTCAGTTCTAGTTCAGTTCTAGTTCAGTTCTAGTTCAGTTCTAGTTCAGTTCTAGTTCAGTTCTAGTTCAGTTCTAGTTCAGTTCTAGTTCAGTTCTAGTTCAGTTCTAGTTCAGTTCTAGTTCAGTTCTAGTTTTCAGTTCTAGTTGTTCTAGTCAGTTCAGTCAGTTTCTAGTCAGTTCTAGTTCAGTCTAGTTCATTTTCTAGTTCAGTCTAGTTCAGTTCTAATTCTCATCACTTCTTTTGAAATAATTCCTTTATTTCCCAGGATCTTATAGCAATAGTATAAATTTGCTGCTGATGATTGTTAGAGAGTAGGATGCTTCAGGAGGTGGAATATTTGTCTAGTTTTTTTTTTCATTACACTTAACTATCACGAAAGAGCATCTTCTTTATGACACTTTTCAATACAATGAGCTAAAAGACAACGCAAGCGTGGTAGACAATTTTTTAAATGTTCATTTAACAACGTTTGTATGGCTGCCTTGCTGTCCAGGCGTGGTAGTTTGTTTCTGTAGTCATGTTTGTTAACTTTACCGTTCTGTCGTCGTTTAGTTGAACGTTCATCTCCTTTTTTAGGTTTTTAAGTAAATGGCTAAAAATGAATGGAAATTTTGTTAAGATTTCAGTTTAGCACAAAAAAAAGAAATTATGAGGATTTTTCTTCTTTTACACGTTGTTTGTTATAGTTGCTTTTAGCATAGAAAATAGAAGAAAAAAACTCAAACTATGACTCTACTAACGATATTGCTTTAAATGCACTTCTTGTATTGCATGTAAATTGTTGTTGGCAGCAAAGCATTCAAGCTGAAAAGAAAATATTTAAACTCTACGAAAAAAACCGTACGTATTTGTACCTCGTCTTCGCAGATCTTCTATTCAGACAAATCAGAACGTACGTACGTGTGGGAGTAGGTGTTTATAACAAATCGCAACGATTTGTTGTTTTGAATTTGTACGAAAGTATGTATGAATGTATACATAAATGTGTTGTTTGTGGCACCACAATCGGATTAACTTAAAGTTTACTACAATATAGTAATTTTTACCACAACTACTGTTTTCTTTGGGCTGTTGTTTTTCCCTCGTTTTTCTTTCAACTTTTGGGGCAAGTTTCGTTTAAGGTGAAGGAGAAAAAAAGTGTTTAGAATACGTAAATTGTAAATTATTGTTTAACAACTGTTGCCAAAGTTAAATGAGGCTTATCTTTTAAGCTTAAAAAAAATAGTTGAACATGAACAAAAAATCTGTCAAAAAATCGTGTAAATAAAGTCAATAATGGAATTTGTGAGAAGTTTTGCAAAAAGAATTTTAATTTGGGAAATTGTTATAAAGTCCAAGAGGACAAATATTTTTTGATTAGTATTATGTATAAAGAATATTTACAAATTAAATTGTATGGCCCAAAAAAGGATAAAATATATATAATTTTCGAAATTTTATTAATTTTTTGTTTAAAAGAACTGAATAAATTTTATATATTTTTTTTGTTTGTTTTGCAAATGTATTAATTTTCATTTAAATTTTCGAACCTTTTATTATAAAGGTAGACAGAAAAATATAATACTGTTTTGTCACACCCAAATCATTCAACCAATCTCGCCACTCACCATCCAAATTTTTTGTCATCTTTATTCTTATTAACAACCACCACCAGACATTGACGTGGTTGTCTTAATGTCTTCATTAAATTGTGTTTTAAAGACATTTTACAGGCAATTTATGTCATTATAAAGTCTATTGTCATTAAAATAAAATACAATCACACACAAAAGTATAGAAACCAATCAATTTTACTTTTTTTTCTTTAAAAAATAAAACTTTAACTAAGAAAATGATATGAAACCAACAGAAGGCGCAACAAAATGTAGAAGAAAAAAATTAAGATCCCAAGTAGTAACAATAACATTTTTAATGGGTTTTCAGAGTGGGCGGTTTCTAAGACAAGCCTTTAACAGCAAAAAAAGAAAAAAAGAAAAAACTAAAAAAAGAATACTGGCATGTAACCATGACAGCAAAACGAGTATCATAAACAACAACTGCAAAAATATCGTAAGCAATTTATTGCTGTTTTTGTAGTTGTTGCTGTTATTATTGCATGCAACACATCCTTTAATGAAATGCTTACCAAAGCATGTTATATGTTTGTATGTCTACTGAACACTTTTTGAATTTTAAAGTAAAATGGAGTGAGAGAGTGACAGATAGTGAAAGAGAGGCGAAAGAAGTTATGTTGAAGGAACTATAACAAGTAAACGTGAATCACTGTTTGAATAATAGTTTTGCTAAAGCAGGAATGAGAAATCTGAGCTGCAGCTTGTTTGATAGTTTATGACAGAAAAGTAGGTACTTTTTGGCTTTTAAAAGTACTAACTTATATCATATTAATTAAGTCCAATCGTTAACATTATAAACAGGTACTTGATAAATAGTTTTTGTGCTAATGTAAGGGATTTTAATGTATCCCTTTTTAACCATATCCTTAAAAAACAGGCCAAATATAAGGAAAGTCCTTTTTTAGCTTTTAAGGTATGGAAAATAAGGAATTTATCCATCCCCCTGGAATGCTTAAATTATGGTTTAGCTAAAGCATATGTATCAAGTTGAGGGTTTTAAAAGTACCAAAATATTAAATTATTTAATTTGCCCCTCATGTACTTGAAAAGTACTTTTTGGACCCTAAATGTGCAAAATAACCGATTCAAATTTACACACTTTTAAACCATATTCTACAGAACACATCAATTACAAAATTAAGTTCTTTTTGAGAAATACCAAACTAAGGGGGTTTATCTCACATTTTAATATGAAAAGTACTTTTTGGGCCCTAACTTGGGCCCCACTTTTAAACCATCTTATAAAGAGCAGGATCAATTACAAAGTAGGGTTCTATAAATCGACTATCGAACAATCGACTTTTTGTCGAAATGAAATGAACAGATCAATTACAAAGTAGGGTTTTATAAATCGACTTTCGAATAATCGAACAATTCAATTCAAAGTCGACTATTTTGTTCCAAAAAAGTCGATAACTCGACTATTGTCTACGAAAAAGTCGATTTTGTAAATTAATAGTCGAAAAAGACTAAAAAGTCGGAAAGAAGTCGAAAAGTCGAAAAAGTCGAAGATAGTCGGAAAAAGTCAAAAACTGACAAATAGTAGAAACAAGTCGAAAATTCGAAAAAAGTGTAAAAAAAAATAAAAATTTCTATAATAGTCGGAAAAACTCGAAAATAGTCGAAAAAAATCAAAAAGTCGAAAAATGTTGGAAAAAATCGAAAATTCGAAAAAAAATTCAAAAGTCGAAAAAAATCGGAAAAAGTCGAAAAATGTTGGAAAAAGTCGAAAATTAGGAAATAAATCTAAAAGTCGATAAAAGTAAAAAAGTCGACTTCATGTGTTTGCATGAAAAAAATAAAAATTTTTTGACGAAATTTACAGAGGTTGTCTCAGATTTTTGCTCATATCTCCGTTATTAATGAACCGATGTTGCTGATTTTAAATAGGAAACTTCTCGAAAGCATGTCAGATAGAATAATTGAAGACTGAGATGCCAACGATATCTGAGGTCTCAGAAAAATGATTTCAACAGACGGACAGACAGACAAACGCACAGACAGGCAGACATAGCTTAATCGAATCCACTATCTATAAGGATCCAATATAATTATGCTTTATAGGGTCAGAAAATTATATTGTAGAAAGTACAAACGAAATGACAGACTTATATATATACCCTTCTCAAGAAGGTGAAGGGTATAAAAATACCAAAAAAAGAGCTTTGATTTATCCCATATTAGACTATGGGTCTTTAAACTTGATAAATAAAGTAATGTTAAGCACTAGCTACGGTACTAGTTCCGTATCTGTATATCATCCCCTAGATATTCTTATTATAGCAATTTTCCCAATAATAACAAAAATAGTTTTAAGTACTTTTCTAGTTACAATTTTTACAATTTTAAGCTTCAAAAAGTACCATGCTTTAAAAAAGTACACTGCTTTAATATAATAGTTTTTCTCTACTGTTTAGCTATCATAGAAAAGCTTTCTATATTCGAGAGTGTCTGTTCTGACAGTTGCTGTCTTTTCTTTGATTACAGTCTTACACACGTGTAATCATAAATGTTTGTATGTATGTTGTTTTTGTAATTTTGCTTATGGTTAATTTTTGGCATAAATTTACACTGAATTCAAATTTCTTCATTATTATTTTCTTTTTTGCTCATCTGTTTTAACAGTCAAAATGTGTAAAAAGTAAAGAAGTGCTAGACATTAGGGTGACTCGTTAAAAAAACTAATTTAAGCAAAGTGTTTCACAAAAACTTTTGGTAGTTCTATTAGATTTATTTTGTATAAAAACTAAGAAATAAATAGCAATATGCTTAGAAGGTCTTAAGTTTATTAATTGCAGATTTGAAAGTTTGCGCAAATTTACTCAAATAGAAAATAAATATTTTATTTTGTTGTATGTAAAACTGATTCATCACTGATTAAATAGTTTGCAAGGTTTTTAACATTAAAAAAAATTGCACGAATAGAAAACCATTAGTTTAAACAGTGTACGAGGCTTGAAATGTAATTTTAAGTTTTTGCGCAAATTTTATAGGGAATACATTTTTAAAAGAGTTTTAACAATTTATATGGAAAGTGCCAAAAGTCCATCAATTGTAAAGTTTGTGACGCTTTATTGTAGAGCTTTTATACGTACTTTGTTTACAAAAACAAACAATTCATTTGCAATATTAGCAAGTTTTTTAATCCTTCATCTGAATACCCTAATATTTCAACTTTGTTGCTGATTTAACAAACAAGCAAGGAGTAGAAGAATACAATTTTTATTATTATTTTTTTTTTAATTTGTTGTATGCATGTAAATAATGGTGTGATTATGTGTTAAGGCAATATGTTGTTACTTAAAATGAATAATTGCATTTTTTTTTTCTTGTATATAAGTGTTATTCCCTTATATGTTGCCTACAAGAAATACGAAGGTGTTTGAGTTGCAGCAGCAGCAGCAACAACGATGAGTAGCTTGTGTAAATTGTCAAGAACACTTGTACTACCTTTCTTGCATTAAAACTGCACAAATAGAGGAAAATTTTGCTATTAGTTATAGTATAAAGAGCTTCATTAAACATACAAAAAAGTGAAGGTGTTAGTAACATGAAGAAGGATATGGGAGAAATAAACCTCAACATTTCATGAATTTCATGTGTGAGGAAAAATATTTTGTTAAATCTTTTTTTTTCTTTGTCTTCTATTTTTGGTCAGTTTGTTAACTGTTAAAGGCAGTGATGGGGCAGTTTAAATATTAATGCATTTACGCTTAAGAATGAAGTTGCAAAAACTAGGATCTGTTTTAAAATAATTTTAATACATTGCAAGCTTTCATGTGCTAAGCAGAACGTAAGAGCAAGACGGCAAAAGCTATTTATACATTTAAGCAGCACTTGTTCGCCTCTAAACTAGCTTAAAGATTTTTTAATTTGCCCATGACTGCCCTAAAATATTGCTTACAAAATTTGGGGGCCATTTTAACACCTTATTTTTTTGACTAGTTAGTTGTTTGGTTTTTGTTTGTTTTACTTTTACTCTATACACACATACAAACAATTTGAATTATGGCAATTACTTTTAGGTGTGATGTTGCATATTTTTTCCTGCTACTGCTTCTGAATAGTATTTATTTAGTTGACACTTTTGTTTATTTGTTTTTCATTTGTGTCAACACGTGTGCTAAACAGCAACAAAAACAACACTTTAGTCTTCCGTATTTAGTTTTGGGCAAAAAAACAATGCTCAATGACACTTTAAATTATTTCTATTTGTGTTTATTTAAATATAAAATTTTATTTACATTTGCTAAATTTCGCACAAAAATATATTACAAACATACAATGATATCAACTAACTAACATTTTTTCAACTATGAAAATGACAACAATATGGAATGGATACTATTTCATTTAAAAAGTTTATATATTTTAAGTAACGCCTAAAAGTATGCTATAGTTTGGTAGCTGTATGAATTTGATTCTTGGAATATTCTCGAATAAAATTAAAATTTATAACTTTATGTTTTTTAAAACGTATAATTTTATAGAAAAAAATTGGAAACTTTATCTTTTATTTGAAAAAAATTCTAGTTGCGAGTTATTAACTTGTCATCATATTTCCTATATATTTTTTACATAAACTTAATGTAATGAATATATTTTAAATTTAATTTAACAAAATGTTTAATTTTATTTAAATATGTTATTTTTAGGGCAACACATGTTTCAACAGCAAAACCATCTCTTAACATTTGTTCAAATTAAATTTAAAAAAAAAAAAAAACAGTTTTTTTTTTACAGTTTTAACTAAAAGTGTGTTTGTACTTTGCTATAAAAAGTCATAAAAAATTTAATTAAATTAATACATATGACCAGTGTATGTCCTTAACAACATAAAAAAAAGAAACTTAAAACAAAAAATTCGTATAAACTTTACAACAAAGTTAAAATAAGTGAAATAAAAAGGCAAAAAGGATACAAAACATACACTTAAATGTGTCAACACTGCTTTAAATGTTTTCTCTTAACAAACACTGGTACAAAAAAAAAACAACAACAAACACATGTTTAAATTTTTTCCTTAGTATGAGTATGTATGTAAACAAAACATAGCTCTAACATGGTCATTTTTAACAGCCTTTTTAATATACATACGAAAAGAAAAAAATTAACAACAACAATAACAAAAATTTTATGTTTTTAAATAACAAGGATGTTAAAAGTATTAAAATAAATAGAAACCTTGTACAAGAAACAATAAAATTAATGGAAAACTAAAGAAACATAAAGAAAATTAAAATGTTTTCAAAAAGATTTCTTCGAAAAAAGAAATCTTAAAAATGTTAATGCAATTATATTTTTCTAGCAAAGTCTAAAAATATACTTTATTTTTAACAGCCTGTTAATAGGCAACACTTTTGAGTTTGTTGAAAATAAACTTTTAAAAGGAATTGACTAAAAATTCATAGAATTGTAATCCAATTGAGTTTAATTTCAACTAATTTTAACACCAAACTTGAGTTGCAATTTTAAAGTCGCCTAAAAGTAGACTATAAGAGTTAAAACTTAGAGCTTAAACTTTGTAAACAGCACATGCTCTCTCTTTAGGAATTTCTTGTAAAAATGTTAATGAAATTATCTTTTTGTTAAGCCTAAAACTATACTTCTTTTTTGACAGCCTGTTAATAGGCAATACTTTTGTTTCTATTAAAAATAAACTTTTAAATGAAATGGGCTAAAAATTCATAGAATTGTTATCCAATTGAAATAATTTTCACATTTTTAAGTCAGTTTAATTTAAACTAATTTTAACATCAAACTTGAGTTTCAATTTTAAATCTTTGTAAACAGAAATGTCTTGTAAAAATGTTAATGAAATTATCTTTTTGTAAATACTAAAACTATACTTCTTTTTTAATAGCCTGTTAATAGGCAACATTTTTGTTATCATTAAAAATTTAAGACTTTGGTTAAAAATTATTAAAAAAATATAATCCTATTGAAATAATGTAGATATTTTAAATGTGGTGTTAATTTAAACTAATTTGTTACACAAAACTTAAGTTGCATTATTGAAGTCGCCTAAAAGTAAGCAATATATTAAATGTCAAATATTTGTTTAAACTCTGTAGAACAAATTTCTACGAATTTAACTTCAGAAATGCAAATAAATCTAGTAAATGTACAAATTTTAAAGTAATTTCCGCATAAAACTTTTAATTGCCCTAAAAGTAGGCTACAATTTAGATGAATAAAATCTGTTTTAGATGTTTAAAAGATCCTGGCATTATTTTTAGATTATTTTTTGTTTTCTTTTTAACTAAAACTACTTTTTCTATAATTTTTTTCCAAGTGTTCTAACAACTTAAATCTTCATACAAGTTTAGTTTGTAAACTTGCTAAATAAACATTTTACATTTGTACTTTTAAGATCATCTCCTATATTTTTAATTAAAGTTTGTTCCCCTTGCAAACCCATCATTACCTCTTTTTTAATAATTGTTAATATTTCCATTATTTTTTTCAATTTCTTTACAGGTTTCACATAGATAAACGTTGTCAACATCGTTGTTCCTGGAAATGTTTGAGTATCGCCTTAATTTTAATATCAGTCGTCCTAACAGCCATGTTGGCATATTTTGCAGGTATGTGTACTTTTTGTTTAAATAACATTTTTTTTTTCTCATATACATTCGAAATGATAATGATTATTATGCTAACAATTTCCTATGTTTGTTTCTTGTTGCTACTGCTACTGTTGTTTTTTCTGTGTAAATAAACTATTATGAATATGTAAACATGAAAAATCCTTTTTTTCGTAGTTAAATGTATGAGTTTAGTTGAAGAGGATTTTTTGTGTAGTTTGTTTGCACTCATATTTCGAAAATAGTTTGTTTTGCAATGACACTAGGCTGTTGAAAGGTGGGCGAAACAGTGGCATGAGGGAAAAAGGGATAGAAAGAATTGAAGAAAATTAACTAATATAGGTTTATCAATTTTATATACAGCCTAAAGGTATGCTTCATTTTTTGCATATACTAATCTGACCTTTGAATATTCTCTAATAAAATTAAAAGTTAGATTCAAATCGTTGATCAAAACTTGCTGTTAAAACCTAGAATACCTAAGTTATGAAGAATTCATGAATATACTTAGATTTATTTTTAGTGCAACACCTAGCGGTATGCTACATTTCTAAAAACTGATTCTAGGAATATTCTCGTTTAAATTAGAATTCATAATTTGTTGCTTTTTGACATATGAAATGTTTCGGGTAAAAAATCAACAATAGCTATGGATTTTATTCCAATCAAGCTGAACTCATCAGTTTGTCACATTCTGTATATAACTATAATTATTCATTGCGAAAAAGTACTTTGAACCAACAACACTTAAAAAACATTTGTCCTTTTAATTGAGTCTTCACTGTTGTTATTTAATATTAATTAAATGGAAGAAGAACTAGTGAAAAATGTCAGAGAGAGAGAGTGTGAGAAGGGGAAAACGAAGGAAAAACTAGAAGATTGCTACAGGATTTTTAATAATATTAACAAACATTTACATACGAGTGTGTATGTATAACGCACACATGCATAAATGTCTTGTTAAGTATTAGATTAAATTACAAGAGGCAAATTTACATGCACACACATACATACATATGTATATGTTAACAAACACATGAACATGTTTAGGTTATTGTTTAGTTTAAGCTAAGCAAAAACTTGGCATTATTATTTGTATCTAGTAGTAGTCTCATTTTCATATGTATACATATTCATTTATACTATTTTTTACTTATACACACTTTACATAAGTATCATGTATATAGTATATTAAGCCTAATGTAATGTAAATATAATGTTAACGTATATATAGTTTACAACGCATTATTAGTGCACCAAATGTTTTGGTTGAGTATCATATATTTGTTAGATTTTTCTTACATTTATGACAAGTGTCATTGGATTATTTTGAAATAAACCTTAGAATTTAAAAAAGTTCGGAACCAAGGTTTACCTTTTAAATTTAGCTTTTTTTTAGTGGAAATTATAAATATTTCTTTAAAATTTTAAATTAATTTTTACTTCCTCTTTTTACTTTATCTTTACTTAATAACCTTTTCGAACTTTAGCTTTTGCAGGTTATCAAGTTTTCCTATTTACTCCTTTTTTGCTGTTTTATAGGTGTAGTGGTATTATTGTTTTAATTTTTGCTATCTCAAACTTTCCCAACAGTTCCTAGAGGTTGTATAGAACTTTTAAGTTTTTATATTAATTGGTACTATCCCTGTTTACCAATAAATTCTTAGGGTGAAGTAAATTGATCCTTCCCCGACTTCCTTTCAAAAATAATTGAATAATTTGATTCCTTACTCTTTAAAAAATTAAGGCGATCAAGTGATTAGATAACTGATAAGTTAAAGACCAGCTTTCTTAAGTACAATTTAGAGAAATGGTATTAAATGACTACTCGCTAGTTTACTTAGGGATAATTGATAGATGAATGACTACCCGCTAGATTACTTAGGGACAAACAATTATCTCTTCATCTCTAAACAACTGGGAGAACACAACCAAGTAGTTAGACTTTTGGCTAAAAGAGTTGAGACCTTTTAATCCTGCAGGGTCTTTCCCCTTACCACCCACACATTTACAATAAAGTCAAATTAGTTGGCATTAGTGTAAGTATTATAGTACCAAATGGGACGTGTGTTATCTGCATATACATACGATTAGTATTAAAGTTTATTTAACAGCAAACAAAACAGAATATAAAAAAAAAATTAAGTAAGAAAGTATAGTCGAGCATTGCCAACTATATGATCCCTATATCAGTTATGAAAGAATAGAAAATAATGAGATCATTACGAAAATCGCAGTATAACTTACTCTTACACAAAACTATGTTTTGACGATTTTTATAGAGATACGGGGACTTGACGAAATAATGGCCGATCTTCTATAGAGCTCGTCCTTGTGCATAATTTCATGAAATTATCTTCAAAATTGTGATCTGTAGTTTTATTACATGGACGGACAGACATCGCAAAATTATTAAACTATGATTCTGAACCGATTGCTATACTTTAAGATTGGGTGTATAAACAATATTTCTATATGTTACAAATATCAGACGATCGCCATAAAACATTTTCCACTTAATTGGTGTAGGGTATAAAAAACTGTTTATATCAGCAGTCCCCAGACTTAGGTAAACTTTTAAGAGCAAACTATATAAAACACAAGAAAAAATTCTCATTAACTAAGTAAATACATCTATAATTTTTTTTTCATAATCAGATTATAGTTTTCAGAAGGGAGAAAATAAATAGAAACTAGAGAAAAAAAATGTATCGTGCTTCCTGGAAAAGGAAATAATAATAAAGGATTTAAGGACAACTAAAAGTATGCAAATATAAATACAAGAAAAATTTATATATTCAATTAAATAAAAAGTCACGTGTGTGGTAAAGGTGATATTTAGCTATAAGCTCATATAAGAAACCAACAATTAAAATTTTAAATTTAAATAATTTAAACTTCCTTTATACAAAAATGTTTCAGACTTTAATTTACTTTAAAATTTAACTACTTTTTTGAAAAAATAGATGCTCTTCTCTGTCTCATTTTGACAACAAATTATTGGGATCTTTTTTATAGCCTTTTTTTCCTTTCCTCTTCTTCAACTTCATGCCACAGCATAAATAAATTAATGACTAATCGAGTATTTTCTGTGTGTACCCGCATGTCTGCACTGATTTAATATGTTTTGCTAAAAAAATTAAAAAAAAAATCTTAAAATTTCAAAATTACTATGTGGCATGTTTTGAAAAGGGTACATAAACACACACATCACAGTGGAGCATACAAAAATTAAAGCAAAAATCCAACCAAAGACTAGACAATAACCCCAAAGTACAACCCAATATAATAACAACAGTTTTCATTACCAAAAAAAAGCTCAAAAATAAAATAAGTGCTGGTAGTTGTTAAGTAACTAACAGCAACACCATAAAACCTTCCAACAAATTTAAGTTTTTACTACAACTTTAAGTTTATTTTTTTTTTTTTTTGCAACCAAAATTTTTGTGTTGTTACCAAGTATGTAAGTAATATATTATTAAAAAATATGTATGTATGAGTGTCTGTCTAACGGAGAAAAAAAAAACATATAATGTTTTAAAGTTTGAATTTTTGTTTGGTATATTTCGCATTTAAGAATTGAATAAAATTAGGATTTTAGGAGAATCTTGTGGAAACTATATTTAGAACAGATAATTTTGCATAATCTCAGAAATATAAAAATCAAAAGTGTTCGATTTAATATTCTCCCTAAAGTAGGCCACATTTTTGTGCATCTTTTTTAATAGAAAAAAAAGCTTGGAATATTCTCGAATATAATTCTATACTGAATTTTGTTTAGTTTTCTTCTAAATAAATAGTTATTGCGAAGAATTATAAAAATAATATTCTTTGTTTTCATTTCTTTATCACAATTTCGATCATTGCCTTAAAGTATGCTACAATATTTGAAAAACAATTTTTCTGATAAGTATAAAAGGTTCTTGTAATATTCGCGATAATATAACTAAAGTGAAATTTGAACGATATTGTGATATAAACTTATTATATTTTTAAAATAATAGAAATATTTAGAAACATTTTTTTATCCAAAAAGCTCTTAATCGTCGCCCTAATAAAGCAAATATAAATTAGCTGTAAATTGAAATTGTAAATATTTATTTAAAACATTCGTCTTTATTTTTATAAAAGTTGTACAAGCTTTTCAACGTTCATGGAAATCTTGAACCTTCTACTGAGCAGGATAATCTATACGTCTGCTTCCCTGTTGATTTGAACCAAACAGAAGATCGTAAACCATTTTATACACCATTCCAGTCGTCTTGCATGTTCTTTTAACTATTTGTTGTAGAGCCTAAATTATTATTCTTATTTAACTTTAGATGAAATTATGTAAAATTTGAGATCAAAATACAAGACAGCTGCATAACAATTGCTTAAAAATCATGAATAAAATTTAAAGGATTGAAAGAAAAACTTTTAAGATCTTAACTAACTTGTTAGCTTGCTACACTTTAATAAAACTCTCTAAAGTAGGCAATATATTAAAAACAAACATATCAACACTTAGTAGGCAAAGCTTTTTTTTATATTCTAAATTTATGAAACCAAGATTTGAACACTGTTTTTGCATTAACTCCCCAATGTAGGCTGCAATTTTTTTCTCTTTTAATATAAAAATTTGTTTTGAACTCAACACATGTCTTCTAACGAAAGAAATAAAATGAAATAAGAAAATTCTTTTCCTTAAATTAGACTAAAAACTTGACATTATTTCTCTAAAACATTTGATAATGTTACCAACGACTTGATAATTTTAATAATGACTGACAGTGTCGAAATGAAAAGTGTTTTATTATTTTTTTTTCTGTTACTTTAGTAAGCTGGTGTGTCTGCATGTGTCTCATGAAGATGTCTTGAGAATTCTTTCTCCTCCTATATTATGTTTTCAGTTTTTTTCTTTTTCAATCTCATGTTTGATAAATAAAAGATTTCTTAAAATGTTGCACACATTAACAAACAACAACAAAAAAGGAGCTGGTATCCTGGGATATTTAACA